TTTTTTTTTTTTTTTTTTTTTTAATTCAATGGCTTGACCTTTTTTTCCACTTAATGACAGTTTAGCTCAAGTGTGTGTGTGTGTGTGTGTGTGTGTGTGTATATATGCAGAGATTTGATATAAAATATCAAGAGCTGAAGGTGAGAATAGCACCATCTCCAGTCCGTATCAAGGACCTCAGTTTAAGTAGTATGAATTAAAAAGTTAGAGAGCAAGAGACCCCTATCAGATGGGAAGGAAGTTAAGAAGAAAATAAGACATGTTTGTTTTACTAACACTGTAAAGATGCAGAGAAAAGCAAGAATCTCCTGCCACCCTCTGCTCACCACTTCTGCAAGCTATATGTATTATTTTTGACAAAGTATTTCAGTTGAATGGACTAGGTTTGAAAGCGTCTGGTGTTTGATTGGTTCACTTCAGTTGATGTAATGTTTTTGCAGGGCATTGCTCAAATCAGCCTGGCTGATTATGAAAGTTCCAGGGAGATGCAGCTTCACTGGTACTCTGTCCAGATATTCACTGGTTCAGACCCACAAGCGGCAAAGGACAAAAGCCAGTGTGAAGAAAATACTCCCCGGGGTTCTGGAAATACAGCTACAGTGAAAACGGTATGGCTATGAAGGAATGTTTTTATTGTTTTGGGGTTTTTTTAAATACTGTACAGATGCTCACTTTCTGTAAACTTGTTTGCTTTTGTTTCTGTGCTAAATTAACTGCAGAGACTCACATTTTAAATTTGTTTTTTGTTTAAGTCTCTGACTTTTGAATGAAAAATGTGTATCACCTATTATAGCAATCATTAAGTGGTGATTTGATTTATGTGCCACTCTCCATAAAAAAGGCTGAGGGTGGCTCACAGTAAAAAAAATAAATCACAAAAACAGATTTCCTAAACCAGGGGTGTCCATTTTCAGTGCATCTGGGGGCCACCTCTCCTCATACCCTCTTCTCTCCTGCTGCCACAGAAGTGTTTGGTCCCCTAGTGGGGCCCCCCTACTTCTCACCACGCAGGCAGCCCCAGCACTGCACAGCCCCCAATTTCCAGGCCCCCTCTCCCACTATGTGGCAGTGGAATAGGCAGCTGCAGAAGCCTGCAGTCTGCCAGTTGATCAGCTGTGTCCCAAACTGTAATCCAAGCAATACCCAAAACATAACTTGCCCCCATTATATGTGGGCAAATGATCTAAACAAAGCTGCATGGTTATATTGAGTCTTGAAGAAAGATGTTTTTTAACTCGGAAATTGTTTAAATAATCTTATCATTTACATCATAGGCGCTCAACCTCCAGCCCTCAGGCCAGATTCAGCCCACAGAGGCATGTCATCCAGCCCATGGGGCTGCCCAACAGTCTGGAAATTTGATTGGCGGGGAAGCAGTGGCAGCATTAACTGCCTCTCCCCAGCCACCAAATTTCTAGATATGTGGAGAGCTCTGCAAGCCAAATGAAATGGTCCTGCATGATAGATCACACCAGAGCACGGAATTCTTCAGCCTCTGTATCTGGCATGTGGAGCTAAGCCAGCACACCAGATAGCACCTGCAGACTGACCCTGCACACCAGCCATGACCTGGATCAGGCCTGTCGCCCGATCCCATGTGTGGAATCTGGTCTGCAGGGTCAGTTAAGTTGATCCCCACTAATTCATACTACAGTAAAAAAATCAAAATGGGGTTAAGAACCACTGGATGCTCTCTAATACTGGAGAATCATTGTGCTGTATACAATGAAATTCAATGTGAGCATTTTGCAATATTGCGTATTGCATTTTGCAGTAAAATAAGTATAGTTACTTTTACCATAAATGTTGCTGCATTGAATTGGCTCTGAAAAAGAATGAATACTATTTTGTGATTTGCTTTAGCTGAGCAAACTAATCATCAAAAATCTGAAAATTTTTGTCTTGGAAATAAATGATAAGTCTTATGCAACTTTTCATAGCCCATTAAAAGTAAGGGTTTTGTATATGGCTTAATACATATGTTTGTGCTTAACTTCGACTAATCCTGTTAAGTATATATTATTTCATTTTAACATAAATGTGAAATGTTCATTCTTTTCTGGTGGAAGTCTTACATCTCCTTGTGGAAGTTTCAGTAACTGAGTAGTAACGTAGTAATAAAGTCATAATTTAGGACACATACTTGTTCTGAGCCATATGGTGACAATTCTTTCACTCTGAATAATACACAAAGATTAAGTTTTAGTTAAAGCAGTGTCATTTGAAGTCTAGTTTTACTTTCAGGATGCAGTAACGGTCCTTTTAGCAAGGACCACAGCCCAGCTGGAAGCAGTGGAGAGAGAATTGGCAGAGGAGCGTGTGAAATTGGAGTACACAGAGGAAGAAATCCTTGAGATGGAAAGAAAGGAAGATCAGGCAGAAGCTATATCAGAGAGGTAAAAATATTAGTTAAAATATGGAGCACATATAATTTGTAAGGTCTTGGCTGAAGCTTTTGGCTATTTTCTCAAACATGACTACAAAAAAAGGGAGATCTGTGCATCCTGTTTGTATTCAACTCTGTTCTCCTGTTTTATCATTGCAGGTGCATATGTTTAATTTGGTTTTCTCCTGATTAGATAACAGTCTACCTCCTAGGAAAAGCTAGATTGCTACAAAGTAAACTTTATCCTCACAGTGAAATCTTTTTTTCCTCTGCCCTCTCTATACATGTAGGGGGTAAACTGTACGATATTGTTCTTTGGTAGTTAGAATCATAGATAATTAGGGTTGGAAGGAACCTCAGAAAGTCACCTAGTCCAACCCCCTGCTCAAAACAGGACCATCCCCATCTAGATCATTCCAGTCATAGATTTTGCAGACATTAAGGCTGAAAGGGACCTCGGAAGATCATAGAGTCCAGCCCCCTGCCCCAGGGGCAGGAAGTCAGCTAGGGTCACAGGATCCCAGCAAGATAAACATCCAGTTGACTCTTAAAGGAGTCCAGAGAAGGTGCTTGAAGGGCTTTCTCAAGACGGATCTTAAAAACTTCTAAGAAAAGAGATTCCATCACCTCTCTTGGTGATCCGTTCCAGTGTTTCTCCTACCCTCCTTGTGTGCGAGAGTTTTTCCTAGTCTCCAACCTAAACTTCCCTTCCTGCAACTTGACACCATTACTCCTTGTTCTGATATCTGCCCAGGACAGTTGAGAAATAGACAGGTCCACACAGGTCTGGTTCTGAAGACTCTTCGCAGCTCAAAAAGTGGTAAGATTTTGTTGCCAGGGCCTGAGTTGAGGGCAAAATTTATGCTTTTTACTTGTGGAACAGAAGAATGACAAGATAATGGTAGAACTAAGTCAAAGTGCATTTAATTGTCCTTTAATTAGGGGTGTCTGACACCCTAATGACCTGAGCAGTTATTAAAGATGAGCAATTTTAGAAATAGACATAGTAACATGTATTAGCAGAACCTAGTTTACTAACAAGGCAAAACTTGCCAGGTGCTCGGCTGCAGCAATTTTTGGACCCCATTACATGTTTATGTTAAAATGCAAACTCATAGGATCATGCAGTGAGGCCCCAAGGCTTTTCAGTCGTTAACATTTCAAACTAGAGCATTTGTTGGTTTTGAGTTTTCAGTAATCTGAACTATGGTACCCATTTTTGAATACTTAACCATAGAAAAATTCAACACAAAGATGTTGTGTTCTCAAGATACTTTGAAAAGTGATGAGACTGGCGATTCCTATTCCTCTGTATTGATTGATAAGATGCCTTTAGCAATCGTATTCAAGAATGGAGATTTTTAGCACCCTTTTGCCATCCCGTTTCCTTTGAAAGAAAGCTTTATCAGCAGTTTGACTTGGCTTTTCAAACCATGATGCTTTGACTTTTTCTTTTTCTTTGTAATTGAGGACCAGAGTGGGTAAGTTGTATAAGTTCCAGGTTGTCTATTTTTTAAATTTGTTGTAACACTGCTGGAATTCCTGTAGGAAACCAGGTATGTGGTTGGTCTGTGAGATAAGACCCATGAAATAAGTTTGTTTAGTTACTGATTCTTACAAAGATACAACTTTAATAGTTTCACCAAACACGAACATTACTATTTTTCCTTCAGTAAGTTAGGTGGGCCACCTCAAAGTGGCTTAGGATATAGTGTTGGTATCATGATATTAAATTATCTGTACTATGAGCCTAACTAACATGGCTGTCCCTGTTAGTAAGAAAGGGGGCAGGTTCCACAAAAGTGGACTCAGTCATTAAAAGCAAAAGTGTAATTGCTTTCTGTGTTTCTTGGCACCAGTAGCAGCATTCAACAGGACAAAAAACAGCAAGATGTCATGCTGCCCTCTCAGTCAGGAAAACCCACATAATTTTGATAATTTGATTATGACATCAGAAAATACCCTTATATTTGGCAAAGCAAATCGTACCTTTTTTATCCACATTCTTCTGTCTTGTAGTTATGTACCACCCCCTTCTTCTAGTATCGTGAGAGACATTTAGAAAAAAGAGTAAGCTACTGAATACGTTAATTAGTGTTAATCTTATTCTTTTCTCTTTTGTAGTCAAAATATACTAATACTTACAATTTTTTACTTGTGTGATAATTCTACTTCATACCATACTTATTCTTGAATACTGATAGATCATTGTAGTACTTTGTTAGAGGTGTTTTGTTCTGTTTTGCTCCAAAACCATGAAGTGACTTTATGAGAAAATTAGAAAAGTTGATTTTGCCCTGGACAAATTTAACTTTGGCTGTGTATCTTAGAGATCCATCTAGGTTAAGACCTCATTCAGAAAATGTGCATCTGATCTGTAGGAGTAAAATCTTACAAATAATAAAACCTTGACTGGAAACAGAGATTAATTAAGGCATGTCATTTCTTGCAGTTCCAATACAAATCTACTAGTGTCTCAAAATATTGTATTTTTAGGAGTTGGCAAGCAGAATCTGTTGACAGTGGATGTAGTAATTGCACACAGACCAGTCCTCCCTATCCAGAGGCATGTTGTGGTGACTCACTGCATGGACATACATTTCCAGCTCAAGCAGGCCAGTACAATTCTGGAAAAGTGCAGCCCCCACCTATAAAGGTAAGTAAGGAAGATATTGCCAAAAAGTCTTGTGCACATAAGACTCACTATATGTTTCCCTTTGATGTGCCCAAGTGGCACTTTTGTAGCCACGTAAGTGTAATTTTTGGCACTGATGCACAGGTTGTCCTGAACTTCCTTTCGTAGCATGCTGAGAAGGCTGTATGCGAGCTGCAGAGGCTCTAGGGCAGAATAGAATTGCCCAAGCACTTGCATAATGTCAAACAAGTTCCAAAGCTTTAGTGTCAGAAGCCACAACTAACAAGAGTTTAATTATGAAAGAGAAGTGGGAGAAGGATCTTTCTACGTTTTATCCATGTAGCTTAGTGGCCAAAGAAAGAGCAAGGTTCTAGGGTCCCCTTCACCCAGAGGTAGTTTAAATTTACATCCCCTATCTCCCAGCAAAGTTCTCTAACCAGCAAGCTAGAGCACGCTCCAGCCCTCCTCTTGAAGCTGGCCAACTGGACAGGCAGATGCGGAAAATATGTGAGGCTGGGAAGAAAAATCATTTAGAGGGAGGGCAGCTCAGTGAGATGGATGCTGCCCTGGGTGACCCTATTCTGCTAGGGCTGGAAACAGAATACAATGTGTGCATTAAGCATGGAAAGGTGAAATAAATTTATCCCGTAGTGCAGTGGTTTTCAAACTGAGTTAGAATCATAGAAAATTAGGGTTGGAAGGGAATTCAGGAGGTCTAGTCCAATCTTCTGCTCAAAGCAGGAACATCTCCAACTAGATCATCCCAGCCAAAGCTTTGTCTAGCCAGGTTTTGAAACCCCTCAACAAAGGAGCTTCCACCACCTCTCTGGGTAACGTGTTCCAGTATGTTACTACCCTCCAAGTGAGAAAATTCTTCCTGATCTCTAACCTAAATTTTCCTTGCTGCAAGTTGAGACCATTGTTCCTTGTTCTGTCATCTGCTACCACTGGGAACAGTCTAGCTCCATCCTCTTTTGAACACCCCTTCAGGTAGTTGAAGGCTGCTATTAAATCCCATCAGTCTTCTCTTCTGTAAATTAAATAAGTCCAGTTCCCTCAGCCTATCCTCATAAGCCATGTCCCTCAGCCCCCTCACCATTTTTGTTGTCGTCCGCTGGACTCTTTCCAATTTGTCCACATCCTTTCTATGGTGGGGGGGGAGGGGGCCAAAACTGAACCCAATACTCTGGATGTGGCCTCACCAGTGCCGAACAGAGGGGAATAATCACTTCCCTTGACCTGTTGGCCAATACCTACCCACACCTACCAGTGCAGCCCAGGATGCCGTTAGCATTCTTGGCAACAAGGGCACACTGCTGGCTCAAATTCAGCTTATTGTCCACTGTAACCCCCAGGTCCTTATCTTCAGAGTTGCTGCCCAGCCAATGAGCCCCCAGCCCGTACTGATGAATGGGATTATTCCATTCTAAATGCAGGACTTTGCACTTGTCCAGTGAACTCTGTGGTTTCTCCATAGGTCATCAGGGGTTCTACAAAGAGACTGGGGGTAATGGCAGAGTAGGCTGGGAGGTCATGCGCTGCCATTGCAGAGCCAGTCTCATGGCTCCATGTCAGTCTTTAGGGCAGGGGTGGGCAAAATATGGCCTGTGGGCTGGATTCAGCCTGCCAAGCCATTCTATCCTGCCTTCAGGGCCACTTCAAAAAAACAATTATTACCAGCCTGCAGCTGCCCCTCTGAAAGTTGGTGAGAGGCAGGCTTTCAGAGATTGTGCACCATTGGACTGGGCAAGCTCTGTGATTCCACCTCTGTGAGGCTCCTGGCACTCCATTTGGAAGCCCCCTGTGGAGGCACCAAATGGAATGTCTCCCAACTGGACAGCTGGTGAGTGGGGATGGGACCTCCTGCCTGCGTTGTGGGGGAGGGACATGGTGTTTGTGGGTGAGTGTGGGCCCCCTGCCATTGTGTGCAGGTCCTGCCACCAGCGGCAGCAGCAGGTGGTGGGCCCTCAGGGCGCTTCTGGCCCACTACAGGCAAAGCCCCCTGGCAGCACACACTCTGGCTGATTTCTGGGAAATGCATGTGTCATTACATGCTGATGCATGCCTTCAAACCAAACCAAGCTGACTCCGTGCCAGCATACAGGGCTTCTGGCACTGGAGGAGGGAGCTGTGCACCATCGGGCTGGGCCAGGCTGGCTCTGTGCTTCCACATGGGGCTTTCAGCATTCCAGAGGGGAGCCACACATAGTGGCATGGAGCCTGCCTGGCCTGATGGCACGCAACTTTCTGTAGCTCTTGGTCCATGTACCATCAGGCTGGGCAGGCTCCATGGCTCCACATGTGGCTCCCTGCTGGAGGGCTGGAAGCCCCACATGGAGGCACAGAACTGTCCGAGCCCAGTGGCATGTGGCTTCTGCCTGTAGTGCTGGGAGCCCCACATGCTGGCATAGAGCCAGCCTGGTTTGGCTTGAAAATGTGTGCCAGTGGGGCTGGGCTGGATGGGCTCTGTGCCACCACATGCACCTCCTGGGCTTCGGCCGGAGCCGCGCGCCGCTGGGTGGCTCTGCCTATAGCGGGCCAGAAGCATCCCAAGGGTCTGCTGCCTGCTGCTGGTCCAGCTGCCACCGTCAGCATGGTCTCTGCGCCGTGGAAGGGACAGGGGACCGTGTGGCAGGGGCCCAAAACCCACCCCCACCCTGTCACAGTCCTCTCCAAAAGCACCCCCACACATACACAATATACAAAAATAAGATTTTATTTTCAGTTTTTATGCAACCATCTCAATATATATTATAGAAACACAGATAAATCAGGACAAAAATAATTTTTGAAATAAAATTAAAATGTTATAATAGATGTTTAATTTTAGTATATAATTTTTTTTCAGGTTCTGAGATGGCAAACCCTGTTCCTGAAAGGGGTACTTCCAGGAGCAAGGGAGGTGGGGGGGGACTTCTGGTGGCACAAGTCAGGGGTAAGGGGTAGGACTTCTGGTCTCAAGATTGCAATCAGAGGCCGGGCACATGTCAAAGGGCAGAGCTACGCTTGTGGCCCTCAGCAGCTCACCCAAAGTCATAAAGTGGCCCTCTAGCCAAAATAAGTAAAAGATACCAACCACCCTAAGAAATACTTGCCTGTCAAATAATTTCTGGACCGTCATAGCTACATCAGTCTTATACTTACATGACTTCAGGAAGTTTGAAAACATCTGTTACAGTGCATTGCTAGTTCCAGTTGAATTTGCATGTCACCTGGTCTGCAAATGAAATCAGAAATGCACTGACAAGACTGACATATCAGTTGTACCCACAATGCCTTGAAAATCATCATGTGCATTTTAAACTTGTTGTATTCAGTTACTGCTTTGATGAAACTGAATCTGTTCTGAGAGGACTCATTTTCTCAGCTGTATAGTGATAGATATTTGTTTCTGTATTTAAACTGTATGTGTGAATGCGCACTTGCAATTAGTAAGCGTGTTCTTCTAGTACTGTTGCGGATAAGGCCATCCTAAAATGCCAGTCCTTATAGAAATAGCACATTCTTGGAAAAATTTTAAGAGATAAAAGCTGAAACTTTAATTTGATTAATTTACCCACCCTATATTAAACTAAATGTACCTGATTTTTCAGTCCAACTTTGGCATGCTGAAACTATATAAGAAAAAGTTATCTGTTGTTTTTTTTTAATCAAGGAGTTGAGATAATGTAAGAGAAATTGTGTAATTTCAGCTTGTGTAAATTACAGTGAAGTGAGTAGAGCTACCTGTGTCTGCACAAGGTGAGGATCTGGCTCTAAGGCTAAAAACAGACAAGCCCATATCCCACATTAAATACCTGTGTATAATTCAAATTAAAACTTTGCCTCAAAATTGTGGCTAATTCAAGTTAATTGCTATTTAAGCCTAGTGTGTAAATGGCTGTTTTAATGTCATATCCCTGCCTAATCAGGGCCTCATTAAATCAGTTGTCTGTTTTTTAGTCTAAGAACTTGTTACCATAGGGTGCCTGTAGATGTGCCGGGAAGCTGCTCCAATGCACTGTAATTACAGCGTGTTGGAGCAGACTTGATTAATCAAGTATGCTACAGTATGCTAATTAGTGTGTCCAGCAGCCTCAGCATCTCATGTATCAGCATCCCTGCACTTCAGTGGTGGTGGGGGCGGGTTAACTAAAGCTTGTTTGATGAGTTTTAGTTAACGCACCCCCACCACCATTTTGAAGTATGGGGACGCTTGTACAAGAGAAGCTGTGGGTGCTTTAATTAGAGTGGCTCTCAGCATCTGTAAAAATGCCTGTAGTCTGTGAGACAATAATGCAGGATCATACATATTTATGTATGAGTAGGGGTCTGCCCAACTCAAGGTGGCAGCCAGCCTATTTTGTGGGCAGATCACAGAGCTGGCCAACCTTTACAAGGGCTTTTCATGGCAGGGACCCCCACACCTCTGGCTGTGGGGACCCAGTGCTCCTGCCCCCTGCCACTGATTGGTAGAGAGAACTGTCCATACGGCCCCACCCCTAGTCACTGACTGGCTGAGGGCTGTCTGTCATGTGGCCCCATCCCACGCCACTGATTGGTGGAGAGGGATCGGGCTGCATGGCAAGCAGCCCTCTCAGCCGGTCGGAGGTGGGGTGGCAGCCATTTTGCCTGCTTGCCTTCATCCTGGCAGCCTTCTTCATGCCAGGCTGCGGAGCTAGGAGGACTTCTGGCATTTTATTATTGGTAAGTTGTTGGGGGAGAGGGGGTTGGTTTTTTTAACCCATGAATTTTGTGATCACCTGATTTTACAATTTGTGCGCAATTGTGATTTGGGCATACTCATGAAAAATTTATGGCAGGGGTGGGCAAAATGCAGCCTGCGGGCTGGATCCAGGCCACAGAGGGACTTTGTCTGGCCCGCGACAGGTCCCTCAGTCCTGCCTGGACTAGGCTGTGTCCAACCTGTGGTGTGTTCTGCTGCCCCTGGCTGCACAGTGGGGCTGGGGCAACTCTGTGGCTGGACTCCATTTCTAAGCAGCCAAGGCGGCAGCAGCTCCTTCTGCAGCTCTACCCCGCACCCACTTTGGACTCACCCCGGTTGGAGTGGACCAGCTCTGGACCCGCTGGGACTTATGCTCGTAGCCCCAACCCCAGCCTGCCCTGTGGCTGCTCCAGGCTGCCTGCCCCTGCTGCTTCTGCTGCTCAGGGTGAGTGGGCAGTCTGGAGCAGGTGTGGGGTGGGCCAGAGTCAGGGCTGTGCACGTCGGTCCCAGCCAATATGCTCCAGCTGGGGTAAGTCCAGAGCGGGTGCTAGCCAGGCTGGGCCAGGGCTGTGCACTCATCTGCTGCTGGGCACTGGTGGCAGTGGCAGGGAGGAGCCAGAGGGCATGAGGGGTCTGGGCTGTTGTGGGGAGAGGGGCTGACTGGCCCTTGACAGCTCCCTGAAATTGTCTTTGTGGCCCATGGGCCCAAATAATTGCCTGTAGCATTTGTGAGTACTCTTGTGAGTTCTGAGAAGTAGCACAGGTCTGCTTGCCTCCACCTAGTCCACATACATCAAACACCAAAATGTTTGATGATGGGGGAGGGATGCTTCAGGGTAACTTCACCTACTTCATTTTCAGATTTGCTACCTGCACAGTCAAAGGTGATAGATGGCTAGTACTTCTAAACAACACCATGGAAGTGGTATCAGTATTACCTTAAGAGTCAGGAGGCTGGGTTGTTTATTTCCAGGTGTTCCAGTGTTATGAACCCATTTATGTTTTGGGGGTTCATGGTATGTCAGGAATGTTTTATTTTACTCATATGGCATATGTGATCTTGTTGGAAAGCCCATATGATGCTGTATCCATTTATGTCACTTTTATCACATAACATCATATGTTATGCTATCTGTGTGCGTGTGTGTATGTATATATGTATATAGTTTTGAATATGGTTTAGTCAAGGAAAGAGAATGGGAAGAACTGGTAAATCTCTCTTGCTCTGTGCCCTCTAGGTTGAGACTAATTGCCACTCCCAGACACAGGCAGAACAGGTTGGGTCCCAAGGCATTGTCTGGGAAAATCAACTCCTCTGTCTAAGCAACGACATTTGAAAGTAATGGCCCTTTATCCAGAGGGGCTCCAGGTTTCTTAGGGAGATCAGAACTTTCTGAAGGATTTTGTTGGCTCAGGAGCATTAAGAATAATGATGAGGAGGAGGGCTGATCTTGGAGGCTTTTTGAAGACTAGGTAGGATAGAATATGTCTTTGAACCCCACGCTTTGGTGGTCCAGTGACTGGAGTGGCCAGTGCTGGCAGAATCAGCAATAAAGCTGAATTCTTGGTGTACTGGCAGGTGTCTCAAGAAGGGCTAGGGAGCAGCCAGATGAGAAGGAAGGAACTTGACTTATTTTGCTTTTCTGTCTCCAAACCTATACTATGTTTTGCTTGTATGAGTCTTTTTTTCCTACATAATAAATATTTTTGTTGTTCGTCTCCTTAGTGATGCCTGAGGAAAGAATGATTGCTGGGCAAATAATACTCCAGGCTACTCCATGTAAGGGGGGACCTAAAATTTCTTTCATAACCCAATGGGAATGCTACAGAAGGGCTGGCAGATTTCCACATTTCAGCTGCAGGGTTTAGTATAAGGCTAGAGAGCGATCCCAGGGCAACCTTGGTCTGTTTTTTTTTTGAGCAAATAGAAACACAGGAGGGAGAAACTTGAATCTCTGAGAGTCTCTCAGACAGGTTTCTGACATTCAGGATCTCCATATTTGTTGAGGCTTCTATCATCACCTTGACAGTCTCCCCATTCCCTATGACTAACACTTGTTGATTTTCTGGAAAGTGATTCAGTTCTTTCTTTCCACTGAGGTAGGGGGTTAGGCAGCTGGCCTGCTGTTAAATTAACATCAACAATACTACCACTATGTAAAAATGTACTGTGTTATTGGGTTGTAATATTAACCTCCTAATCACTTGGAAGACTGCAAACACTATTAGTATTTGGAAACTGGTTCCAGAATCTTGAATGATCAGGTTTTCATAAATGAAATGGTCCATGCTCTGAAGGTTTCATTTAAGCCCAATTAGAACTTAACTAGCAAACTTTTCTGCTTTTCCTTTGAGGAGATCATTGGAATAAAGTTACTGTTTTGGCTATGATTTTAGGTGGATAAAGAGACGAATACAGAAGATCTTTTTCCAGAAGAAGTTGCTGTTCTTCCAAAAGAGAGAAGCAGCCGTAGGCCCCGTGGTTCTGCTTTTGTTCGTAGTAGCACTATTGTTCGTTCACAAACCTTTTCGCCTGGAGCACGAAGTCAATACGTGTGCAGAGTGAGTACAGTATTTTTCTTTGCGATTCCACCTGCAGAAGGGCGAAGGTGAAAGGTTCATTTGACAGTGTGTATTAGTTCTAACTAGTAATCCTAAACAGTATTAAAATATTCCTGTAAGAAGGAGTACACAGGCAGGAATTTAGCTCTATAAGAGCATTAATAATTAAAACATAGTATAGTCTTTTAGAGTCTTACAAGTTGTTAGATCCAGGTCACTTCTATTACATAACTTTTCCTTTCATCTATGCGGTGTCTAGTAGGGCTGTGCGAAATTTCGGCAGCCATTTCATTTTGGAGGTGTTCTGGCTTGTTTCAGCACCCAAAATGCCGAATCCAAAATAAAACAGGAGGCAACAGAATGAAACAAAACCATCAGAAACGTTTTGGATGTTTCTGAGCCTAGCTTGCAGGGAAAGAGAAAGTAAGAGGAAGAGGGAAGGGTAGGTGGGGGTGGGAAAGGACTGCTCTGATACTGACATCAGTAGCTGGGCAGTGTCTGCAAGGTGTCTTTGAGGTCCCTTCCAATCCCAGTGCTCTGGGGGAGGGATGGCAGCTTGCTGTCACCCCACACGCTAATCCCTGGTTCCACACCCATCAGAAAGGGTATGGCAGAGCCCCACAACCCTCTCAGGGGGCACTGCCCCCAGATCTGTGTATGGGATGACAGCAGGTCACCATGCCGGCTGGAGCCAGTGCCAACACCCAAGTCAACTCGGTGCAGCCCACGCTGAGCACAGCTGGGGGAGCCGTGGGAGAAGCCCCCATGGCTGCCCTGCCTTGCCTGGTCCCATCTCCCACCCAGCCTTGCCTCCCAGCGCTTAAAGGCCTCGCACTCACTGGCTGTAGCAGGGGCTATGGGGGCTCTGGGGCCATGTGGCAGAGCACCCCCATGCAGCCTCTGCTCCCTGATATCTCGTCTCCTCACCTGCCCAGCTCCAGCATCCCAGCACTTTAAAACAAACAAAAAAACCCCCATACTCACCAACTGCAGCAGTGGGGATCAGGACCTTTGGGGGTTCGTGGCAGAGCCCCCCTGCATAGCACAGGGCAATGGGGACAGCAGTGATAGCTCTCCCTGCTTGGCTCCCACACAGCAGCTGCCCCATGGTATGGGTGCAGTGAAGCTTGGCAGGATGCCGCGCGCTGTCTGGGAGCTGGGGCTAAGTGGTGCCGGGCTGTAGCTGACAGGTGTAGCTGCCCCAGCTCCCAGGCAGTGTGTGGTGCCCTGTCAAGTCACACTGCACCTGTGCAATGTGACAGCTGTGGCGTGGGTGCCAGGTGGGGAGGGCAATCCGTGCTGCCCTGCGTTGTGTGGCGGGGCTCTGCCATAAGCCCTCAGAGGCCCTAATTGCTGCTGCTAGAGCCAATGAGTGCAGGGCTTTTTTTTTTTTTAAGTGCCAAGACTAGGTGGGGCTGGCCAGGCTGGGGATGGGGTCAGGCAGGGCAGCCATGGGGGCTTCTCCCGTGGCTCTTTCTGGCCGATCTGAATCTCTGAAACAGCGTCAAAACTCCGAAACAGATTCGGCTGAATCGAAACAGAGCAGTGATCCAAAACAACAAAATGAATCACTGTCCTCAGAAACGGCCGAATCCAAAATCGAAATGAGATGTAGCCATTTTCCACAGCCCTAGTGTCTACTACAAAAAGGCCCTGTTTGTGATTCTAGATGCTGACATAATACAAATCCTTAAGAATTCACATAATAAATTTCCAGGTATGTTAAGCATTTTAGATTAGAACAAGTTTGCATAAAGTTGCTGAACATTTCTGTAAAAAGTATCTTCTATTAGAAATTTAACATATTGTAGGTTGAACACAAATGGGGACATCCTTAAATGTGGCCATTTCTAGCTTTCACAAGTTTGACTTTATAAATAAAGTGATTAATTTTAACTACCATATTTTCTTGCCCCCTTTCCCTTAATTCTACTGCTGGAAATTTGGGTGTGCATTATTACAAGGAAATACGGCAGTGACAATTTCCACTTTTGCTGGGAAAAGGGGAAGATGAAAGTAATGTTGCGGTGCTGTAGGTGGGACTCACTAGCTACTAGCTGCGGACACTTTCTCTCCCTGCATCCCTCCCTCAAGGCTTCTGTTGCTGAAGTTACTACTCAGTTATTAAATGCTACCGACCAGTATTTTCAAGGACATCTTTCTTCATGCTCTCTTTCAAAAACAAGGTTCCTTGGGGATGTGTTGTGTGCAAGAAAATATGGTATATTTTTTCCTTGTAGAGTATGTAGCATTACTGTACTACAGGTTTTCCCTTAAAAAAAAAAAAAAATAAATAAAAAAATAAAAAAAAATCTACAGTTTAAATCCTTTCATTGTATGTTGTTTATTTTCCACTCTCCTTATCATTTATCCTTCCAAATGGTGAGAGGATATGATACTTCTTAATTTACACAGTTCAGATTATAGTTTAAATATTTGTCCCACACCATTGCTTGTTGCATACCTTTTTATTATAAATGGAAAATATAGCCTTTCGTTATTACAGCAGAGATAGCCAAACAACAGTGTTTTAAATGATGTGCTGCCACCTTCAGGTTTTGATCAAGTTAGTCTTTATTCATAATTAAGCAAAAAAGAGAGACGGCTTCTCTGTGCCCAGTACGTTTTCATTTTGTATTTCTTTGTCACTAACAGTAGCCAAATTAAAATAATATTATCCTCTGAGTCTTTTTTTTAATTCTTTTTTTTTAATTGCATATTTAGTAAAGTGGCATAATCAAACGTCCTCAAAAGAAGAAACTCCATATAATTGAGCTTAATTCATTTCTTTGAATAATCAATCCTGAAAAGTCGTTTGTAAAATAAACTGTATTATTATGCATTGTTTACCATGGGCATCTGACTGTACCTGAAAAAATAGCAATTTAGTCATACTGGCTTGTTAGAAATAATGAAGATATTTGAACATATCACTAAAAATGTTCGTAATTTAACAGAAGCTTATTTGCCATCTTTTAACAAATAGACATTGTTCAAAAATTGTACAATAGCACTGTAATGTGGAGACAAATGGTAGTTTATCATGTAGTGTGCAAACTTTTGTGCATCGATATAACTTAAATCCACAGTGAACTAGAAAAACATTTGATTGTCTGAAAGAAAGCAAGGACTTTATTCCTAATTATGAGTTAGTAGTTAATGTCCCTTATGTTCAATATCTTTTCTAATCAGCTGTACCGCAGTGACAGTGATAGTTCAACCCTGCCAAGAAAATCACCTTTCATCCGAAATACATTGGAAAGGCGTACCTTGCGCTATAAGCAGGTATGTTAAGAATATAAAGATCTTTATTTTATTCAGTTTTTAGGGGGGGGTTATTGCGCAATTTTGACTTTAATGTACTTTAATGTAATTATACTTCTGTTATATAATAAAGTCATCTTATTGTTTTTAGGATAAGGGGTCCATACCCAGATTTAAAATAGTAATGGACAATTGTAAAAACTTATGGCAACTAATGCCCAGTTAAATAGATAAAAATTATATATTGGTTTAATTACCTTATCTCTCAAAACACTAAAGGTTAGATAGTGACCTGGGGAGCATGCCAACAAAACTGAATGAATGAGATTAGAAATACTGGAAATACTAGAAATACTTTTGAGAAGGATGTGGATAGACTGGAAAGAGTCCAGTGAAGAGCGACGAAAATTTAGGGGCCTGGGACTTATGAGGAAAGGCTGAAAGAACTACAGTTATAAGACAGAACTAGAAGCAGTGTCCTCAACTGGCAACAAGGGAACTTTAGGCTGGAGATTAGGCTGACCATTAGTCTGGTTAAGCATTTGAACAGGTTACTTAGAAATGTTGTGGAATCTCTATTCCTGGCAGTTTTCACAAGCAGGTCTGACAGATAGTTGGCTGGCATAGTTTAGTCAGGGGATGATCCTCCCTTGAGGAGGAGGTTGGACTAGATGATTCACTGAGATCCCTACAGCGCTTCTTTCCTATGATCCTACTGTGTTTCTAAATTAACACAATATTTTACAAGAGGATAT